TTCATTATGGATTCATCAGTTTTGAAAGAACTAAAAGATTAGCTTACCATTTATGTATTGCATATCTTTGCTCTGGCCACATAAATCCACTGGTGAAACCATCTGGACTCCTCTACCTCTCCCGTCTTGGAGCACCCTCTTCACTGGTCACAAGACCCATACATATCTCTTACTCTCTGACACTCAGCTGCCATTACTGCTACATAGATACTGTAGACTTTTCCTCAGTAAAGAAGAAAATGAAGTTTGAAGTTAACTGTCTCCAATAAAATCAAGAAAAGGAAATATAAAGCAAAGAGGACCTTGCATTTTAAAAAGCCACTCATGGAAAAAGTGGTAGGTGTGTGCAACTGAATAATACACACAGCATATCTAATCTGAAGAAGAGAGTGTGTAGCTAGTTTCATCCTCTATATCATATGCCTGGCCCTGACACATACTTAAGCACACTTAATTTGCCAACAATTTTTAAAATTTCTTTGAGCTTGAGGGTTGTATTTATCTTCTTTACAGATGTCAATACCATGCAAGCTCTTGTACTCAGGCAGTGTTCAGTAAACATTTGTGGTCCTCAAGGTTGTTGTTCACTGTTCTGATGTGTTCCTGTGAGAACCTACCTCAGCCTCTGACAGTTGGTCACTTAGTCAAATTCAAAATACTCTCCAGACAGGATCTAAAATGTTGACTTCAGATCCTATAGAACGTGAATTCCTAGAGGATAGCAGCCTGGCCAGGTCACTGCTGTCCCCAGATTTGACACATAGTTGATAATCTGCATGTATTTGTTAAAGAACCAACTGAAGAACCATGATCTACAATTGGTTAGACCCAGAGCTTGAGTGCTGATCCTTATATTGGAAAGCTTTGGATTTCCCTCTGCTAAGAAGACTAAAATCTCACTCATCCTCAGTCTGGGCATGGTGAAGATGAAGCCACAGCACTATAGTAGGTTTGGCCTAATGCTGCTTGTATTCTAAGGTTAATGTGGATCTCCAAAACTGCTTAGATGAGTGTCTACACGTAAGACACTGAGAGACCCTGCCTGTAAAGATGCTGGCAGTCAATGGCTGGGCAGGGCAGTCAGAGGCAGGACTTGAGGACTCCAGGGCTTGGGAATGAGAGTGAGGAGAAGATCTGCCATGCTGGGAGAATGTGGAGGGGAGGAAACACCATGCCTGAGAAGAATGGAGGACAGGGAGTCAGGGCTGCCATGTGAAGGAGCCAGGATAGGGCTGCCCAGAGGGCTGCCCAACTGGGTCCAGGGCAGCCAAGGTAGAATATAAAATTTAGTAAGTGATAACTCAGAATTATCAGTGGGAGGTGTATTAACTGCATGGAAGTTACACAGTGGTTCGGCTATTGTGATGATTAAGGCTTATTAAAATATAAAGAATACACCTGGAAGGACACATGGCTCCAGCTGCATATAGGCCTTATCTGGCATCAATGGGAGGGGAGGCCCTTGGTCCTGTGAAAGCTTGATGCCCCACCATAGGGGAATGCCAGTGTGGGTGGAAGAGCCCCCTCGTAGAAGCAGGGGGAGGGGGAGAGGATGGGGGTTTGCAGAGGGGAAACCAGGAAGCGGGATAACATTTTGAAATGTGAATAAATAAAATAACCAATAGAAAAATATAAAGGCTGTATGTGTGTCTTTCATTCAGGAATGTAAACCATTGAAGTGGGTAGCAAACCTTCCCCTGAGATTTATTTATGTAATTCAACACAGCACATTGAAGTTGTGAACTATAATGTATGCTTTCAGTGGTTTAGAAATGGTAGGATTCTCAGTGTTGCTTACTGGTTTGTTTATGAATCTCTCTTTCACCTTAATGAACAATTATCAGGAACTCTCACTATCAGACAAATACTACAGAGAGAAGATATGTCTGCCCTACAGGGTTGAAGGTACTACTCAGGAGCCTCCAGTAAGAAGTCTGTGTTAATCAAGTCTACTTAAGTTACATGATTCAAAAGTCACTGAGCCTTTCTTTATCAATGGGCAAAGTGATACTTTGAACTGATTCCTGAGACTAATTCTACCTCCCATTGATTTAAAAGTAGAATAAATAATTTCTAGTAGCCTTGCCAGGACATTTACAAAATAAATGTAAATGCCTTGTCTATGAGCAACTTTGCTATTTATTAGGGAAAGTGTTATTTTTTTAAGAAAATTAATAAAAACCTATAAATACTGCTGGGCATAGTTTTTAATGCAGCACTTGGAAGGCAGAGTCAAGATCTATGAGTTCAAGGACAGCCTGGTCTACATAATGAGTTCTAGGAAGACCAGAGCTACAGAGTGAGACTCTGTCTTAAAATGAAACAAAGCAGAACAAAATAAAACAAAATAGCACACACAATAGAAGGCCCAGACTTCTATCTGTGTCCATACAAGAACGTTACTGCTTCTGTTACTGCCTGTCACTTACAACAGGCTCTTTCTATCTTACAAGATAGTATCAAGAGCTCTCTGTCCCATTAAGATAGCAGTAAGATGGTACCTTGTAGAAACTAAAGTCAGGATGTTGAGTTGGCTATTGACACCTAACCATCCTGAGTACTCAAGGAGTAGCTCTGGGCTTACATTTGTCTAACTACTTTGACCATTTGTTTCCCTTACATGTTGCACTGGTTTCTTAATTGATGTATGGATGAGATGGGGGAAGGGGTAATAGGGAAACCTAAAGTTGCAACATGGTAACGTTGGGTTAAACGATATGAATGCTTATGTGTGTGTCTATTTTTTTAGTTTTGTGGATTTAAATATGTACCTGTGTATGTAATGATACATGTGTAATGGCTGGTGGGAGTTAGAAGAAAGCATCAGACCCCCTGGAGCTGGACGACTTGGCACTGGGAACAGAGTTCAGGTCCTCTGGAAGAGCAGCAAGTAAGTATTCTTAACTGCTGATCCATCTTTGGCCCAACATAAAGCTTTCTAAAACTTGGTTAATTTTTGTTTCCCACTTAGTCTTTTATTTGTTCATGTGTGTGTAGATAATTAAGTTTCCTCCCCAAAGGTGTTTAGAAAGTACAATAGGATTTCTATTCTTGGGAAGTTAGAACAGATATCCTTGACCCGCCTCTTCTGCTAAGTACAATACCCAGGACACCAATGTAAGACAAAGACAAGAAGACTAAGGAATACAATTTTGAGTATCTTTAATATAATAACTGCTTTACTCTGGCCAACTGCCACCAAAAAATAATATATAATACAACACAGTGGGCCCAACCTGTGCCTAGACACGTCTACTCATGAGGCTACAACAAGAAGATGATGGTGGTGGTGGTGGTGATGATAATGATAATACAAACATCCACAACTGGTCACATGCAGAGAGTAGGAGACTATGAGTGCTTACCCCTAAATAAGAGGGACCCCTGATACATCTGTATCACACACCTTCCCCTGAAGCTTGCAGATCATTTCCAAAGAAAGAGCAGAAAGATTGTAAGAGCCAGAAGAGATAGATGTTTATAAAGAAACAGCATTTGCTAGACAGTTCAGTGCTGTTGTACCCAGGAACTCACGGCAGCCACGGCTGTGACTGTATGCATAAGACTCACACAAGATCAATGGATCAGGGGAGGGCTTATCGAGTCTCACCTACATCTGGAGAGCTATGGGCAGTTGATAGCTGTTGGCAGAGAGAGTCGAGTTTTTTTAGGGACTTGGACCCTAGGAGGCTCCCCATTTTCCAGGAATGGTCACAAACCCATGTTCATTCAGGCCACACAACATATGACTATGATTAATTTTATAGGAAGACTTGCCTAGACCTACCAGGGGCGACCTGTACCTGAGCACTCATACTAATAATCTGGTCACGGCTACATACAGCCATGGTCTTACAAGATGTTATCACTAGGGGAACCAAGGCAAAGTGCACATAGGCTCTCCTTGTTGTCTCCCAGGTACTAAACCACCAACCAAAGAGGGACCCATGGCTCCAGCTGCATATGTAGCAGAGGATGGCCTTGTCGGGCATCAATGAGAGGAGAACACTTGGTCCTCTGAAGGCTTGGTGCCCCAGTAAGGGGGGGGGGGGGGGGGGTGGGGTGCCCCCCCCCCCCCCCGGGGCAAGGGGAGCATCCTCATAGAAGCAGGGAAGGGGGGATGGGATAGAGGGTTTGTGGAGAGGAAACCAGGAAAGGGGATAACATTTGAAATATAAATAAATAAAATATCCAATAAAAAAACTGCACATAGACTGACAAATGCCTCAAAAAATTTAGTCTTGTAAAAACGTGAAGAGTGCATCTGAGTCATTTCTGTGGGGTCCTGGCTACTCCAGATAAAAACCCTAGCATCTCCCCTTGTAAATGGTGTGTCTGTTACTCCAGGTTAGCAAGCAGGAAAATGGCCTGTCATCTCCCATCCCCCTCTCCTAAACACACTACCATTTTCTTTGTGGACCAAAACATACCTTGAGTTTGTTCCTCTTCTTCTTCCCTCCCATTAGTTCTGACAGTCAGCAGCAAGCATGAATAGTCATGAGTTCTTGCAATTTCCTTCTCCTTTTCTGGCTGATGTTCCCACCCAATCCAGTCCTCAGACAACAGCAGGGATTATCTTTTTGTTCTATTTGGGGATCAGCACTGTTCTTTGAGACAGGGATCCCTATACCCTAAGTGTTCTAGAACTCCATAAGTAACTGGGGATGACTTTGAATTCCTAACCCTCCTGCTTCTGCCCCAGGATACACATATGTATCACTGCACTGGGTTTTCTGCGTGCTGGGGATCAGATTCAGCTGAGGTTTCCTGCATGCCAGCCACTAGAGGCAATCTTAAAACAAATAATAGACCATTCTATTCTGCTGTCTGTTCTCTCTGGTGATTTCCCATGGCCTTTCACATGAATTCTACCTGCCCTGGTAGTCTATGAGGCCCTGCATTTCTATGGCTGCTGTCTGTCTCCCCAGTACTGTGACACCAACTTCAGATAGACATGGCTGAAACCTGAATAAGAAAGACAGCCTCAGAGGCAGACCTACCTCAAGTGGTTCCCTTAGGCCAAGGTGCACAGTGAGAGTTCTCTGCTTGGTCAGGGATGCTAGGCCTGTGGAGACTTACAAACAGGTTTCATAGTGTGAGTTAACTTTTAAAATCGATCTTGATTTCCACATCAAAAACTTGCAATTGGACAAGAGGACCAGGGAGGCCAGGCAGGGGAACCTGACCTTCAGGACAGAGCTCTTCCGGTGAAGAACTTACCCACTTGGTTTCCACTCTTGCCTTTTGCCCTTATCTACACCTGACTCGACAGAAGAGGAAAGGAGCAGTCTTCTCTGAGCTGTCTCTTCTCATTTCCTTTATACAGAAAACAAAACCAAAAACTAATTCCACTTTACTGAAAGAAAAGATAATAAAGTGGAGAAAAGGAGGTGAGATTACCATTTACAATTCTAGGCATTTCCTCTCTTAATTAATGATGTAACCAGGATGGGACCTGAAAGATTTAAAAGTACAAAGCCTCTAGGGAGGCCACCTACTGGGTCGAGCATTTGCTCTGCAAATGGAAGGACCTGAACTCAATCTCTAGTACCCAGTACTGGTTGTGCCTGCATATAATGTGGGCACAGGGGTACCGAGACGGACGGATCATGAGCAGAGCTGGTTTTGAGGTGTAGCAGGGAATGCTTCTGAGAACTCAGTAGGTAGCTGCCATCCCAGGGCAAAGTACAAAAAGCCAGGTTTCATTACCAGACTTTATCCCACAGAAACTCGCAGCTCCTCTATGCTCCCTGAAGCTACAGCTGTAGTTTTGCATGAGGTCAGTCTGTAGGCTGAGTTCACCTGCCAAAATCAACCTATGCAATATGCTCCCTCCACCCTCATCCTGCAGGTATGCTTACCCCATCCCTAGAAGCTGCATAGTCTAAATGAGTCGTGCCTGCAATGGGGAGGAGCAGTGTCCCTGGCCTCTGGAGGCCAGTGTCTCACCGGCTGGAGAGAAGCACAGCATTCGGGATCTCCCAGGCACAGCCGGGATGAAGACAAATGCCACTACTTCAAAGCAGACTTCAAATGACAGAGGTAGAAAAACAACCCAGGGCAGATGTCATTCCTGACTGTAGCACAAGTGTGTTTTGGGCAGAGCTAAGTCAGTGGAAAACAGTTGCCAGAGCACCTCCCCTCTGGATCGTCAGTGGTGCTGTGTAGGACTGGACGCAGGAGCCCCTGGCGCATCTTGGGGCGCTGGAAAGCCTGGTGCCAAAGTGGAGCGCAGTGACTCTCTTTCTCAAATCACCACACCAGCACTCTGTGACAAGTAAGCCAGTCAAGCCCTGAGAACTGCTGAGCAGCTGTTGGCACTGAAAGGGACGCTATAAAGATTAATGTCGCTGCTATTAGTGCTCTCGGTGCCTGCCTTCTAAGACGCTGCACGTTGTGTCCCCACTTCAGCGTAAAGTCCTGGCAGGAGGTGACTCGGTCTCATGAGTGACAACAGAGAGCATACAACCATGCTGAGCTCCGCTGAAGTTTGGGCTTTGAACAGAATTGTTTGCTTCCCATGTTATCACCTTACAGAAATGAGGGGCTGAAGAGGGAGCTCAACGGGTAAGCAAAAGGGCCTGGGTTCAAGTCCCCAACACAAATTAAAAACAACAGAAACTAGGCATGGCCTGGCAGTGCCTATAATGCCTGCACTGGAGTGAATCTGTCAACCTTGCCCGGACGTGTGGCTTTCAGATTCTCTGAGGTCCTGTCTCAAATAGAGACAGGTATAGGGTAATAGAGGAAGATTCTCAACACCAATCCCTAACCTCCACACAGAGGAGTACACACACATGTGCATATGAGAGAGAGAGAGAGAGAGAGAGAGAGAGAGAGAGAGAGAGAGAGAGAGAGAGAATGCAGAGAGGTGGGGAAAATGTCAGGCCAATCAAACCCAGTTTCCTTCCAACCTTCATAGTCCTGTCCCTTTGCCATTGCTTCTAACACTTCCTCTGCTGTGAACCGGCTCCGTAAGGACTCTGGATGCTAGTAACCACGGCTGGCAGTACAGCAAAGCTACACTAACTTTGTTGTCTCCCCCATTTTTTTTTTTTTTTGGATCAGATCCCATTGGGGATTCCTAGAAAGAAATAGAGTTAAGACAAGTAAGCAGAATTCACCGGAAACCCAAGGCTAGAACAAGCACACTCCCTCTGCAAATCAAGGTCTCCATATGTAGCCAAGGCTATCCTGCAACTCTTATGTGATCCAATGAGCCTGCAACTCATAGTCCTAGCCTTCCAGTGTGAGCATATGTATGCCACTACATCTGGTCCCCTATCTCATCCTGAAATACACTGAATTAATAATAGAAAGCATGTCACCACCATCTACTGAGAACTATTTTGTGTGTGTCAAACATTTCTCATGTTATTTCCTTTAACCCCCCTCAACAAAATGAAATTCGTGTTCTATTATCTCTATTTTATCAGGCCAAAAAACAAATGATATAAACCTAAGACAGGGAAAAGTTACAGGGTTTCCCTGGCTTACGTTCACCCTCAGTAAAATGCTGGGACCCAAACCCCAGTGCAGACCCTTCCATAGTTTGTACAGCTAACCGATGCCTCCACAGTCTGTGGCCCAGAGCCCACAGCACTAGAGAGCACACTGCCCTGCACCCTCCATGCCCGACTTTGTCTTCCCCACATCACAGCATGCCTCGGCTTCTAGAAAAGGCCCCACAGGTTGCTCTCCTCCCGTGTCCCTGTCCCATTTCTGCCACACTCATGAACCCTTAAAATGTGTCTGCCTCTGGCTTGTAACTTATACCTACAAGACCTACCATTGTTCTCAAGCCACAGATCACTGAGGTGAAGGGTGTATCGATTGGATTACCATCAATACTCAGCCTCTGTTAAGAAGGTCAGAATTCACCGCTGCTTGCTCCTCCTCCTACAATGTATAACCAGGCAGAGCTGAGGACTCTGGCTGGTCAGCTCCTCATCCACATTCAGTGCAGGACCTGGATTAAGAAGACAACTCCACACACACATAATGTCAGAAGACAAGGTACAGCAACCTTGGATTCCTTTGGCTTTGGTTTTGAGGAGGTTGGGAATTTATTCAAGGCAGTGAGCTTATACACTGACACTGGGTGCAGTTGCCACAGATCCAAGCTACCTCTTTTCTTGGTCAGTTACTAATCCTTCTGGCTGCTAAGCAAATCCCACATTCTTATTCAGTAATCGAACTTTTAAGGATATTTGCTCTTTTGAATAGCCTGCTACTGAAAGAACGTGCCTACCATCCCCACGATCTGGGCCAAGTTAACAGGAATCTAATCATGAACATGGATACGGAATGTTTAAAAAATGCCAGAATTGAAAGACAATTCTAGATTAGGAGACTGAGAACTGAATGTTGCAGGTTACCTTTGGACTTTGGGAAGAAGAAAAAAATCCGATGATGCACCATCTGAGGGATTATGACTTCGGGCTGACTCTAGTAATATTAGCGTAGCCTGTGTTATATTCATGGGTGTGACAGCATTGCAGTGAGACTGGGAGATGCCGTTGTTCTTAGGAGAGTACCTGGTGATGTCATTAGGAGTGAGGTGACACAGCAGTCTGCAGCTTATTTTTAAATGCTTCAGCTGAACCAATACACATAAGAAATCAATGTGGTGAATGTTCGGTGATCATTGGGGAGCAAAGTGAACGGCATTTCTCTGGGATTTCAATGTCTCAGCAGATAGAATCCTTTTTCAAATAAAACCTTCCAAGGGTGTGTCTTTATTCTGAGCTTACAAGCTTTCCCCGACTCCTGCAAATGGTAACGGGGTAATAGTAATAGAAGCTGATAAGTATTTACCCCTGTTAAGACAGTAATATACTGACCTGCTGAGGACTGCACTGAGTGCTCCTTGGGAACACCATATGTTGTAGAATCAGCCAGGCTCAGGTGTGGGTTCTAATGCTGCGTGTGCTGCTGAGACTCAGTCTGGATCAACTGACCTTTGTGTTTTCTAACGTAAGGACTCCTGGGGTATGACATGGGTGATCCGGGTTTTATTTTAGTGATCTGTGAATGAAGTGATCTCTTCAGAGCTCAGAGTAAGTAAAAGACAACATGAGGAAGGCTTAGAGGGCAAATGTTTAAATGTCAGTTATGTATTTGTACAATGCATATTTAAAGAATGACCCCGAAATAGAGATTCTGTGAGTACTATAGCTCAGGATACATCTATAGCAGGGAGAACTGTAATGACGATTCACTAACGATGAATATGAAATTAGTAACTACAGGGATGCTGTACGGATTCAGCAACTATGGAAAGGCAGCAGTCATAGGCCTGACATCTAGAGGATGTTGTCAAGAGGAAGGTACTGTGCTTAACAGCACCAGCCCAGGACAGATGTTCAGGCTCTGGTAACTTCTTGTGCTTTAGAGACTAAAGAAGAGCTTTCTTCAAGAGCTAAGAAACTGCCTAAGAAGAGAACACAGATGGTGTGGGGACCGTCATAAGAAACAGCACATTTCAGCTTTGTGGCTGCACTGGAGTTTAAGGGCATGGGCAGGGGGTGGTGCTCAGGAGAGTTAGAGTGTCCGTGTGAACAAGCCCATGATGCACAGAAAATTCTGATGAAGGGTGGTCTCTACATTCTCCATTTCTTCTGTTGTAAAATGGAGGTGCCAGATAAACATGCCACTTCTTAAATTCCTTTCAGACTGAAAACCCTACGGTATGAGAAGTAACTAGCCTGTTCAAAGTAGGATGTGGGCTCGCCTTTGGCCTGGCCTTTGGAAGCATGTGGAGGCAAATCGTACGCTTTCCTAGTCAATCAGTCATCACTGGAAAGTCTGTTCTTTTGTTTCGCAGTAGGAGTTTATATGTTCCCTACTGGGCTATCTGCCCCAGACTGGTAAAGCCTCCCTGAGCATGGCTTCCTCGGCCACAGAGTGCAGATCATCTCTCAGGCTTTGCACGTGGTTCTGGATCTTATTGATGGATGATGTATGGCAAGTTGATAGATGGTTGTTGATAAGCCTAGGTCATGGCATGACAGTCATATGACTAACAGGCCTTCCTTGTGTGTCCTCTACTTAAAGAACAAAGCACTTCCAGACAACAGTCACGGTATGCCAGTCTTGTAATTCCCTCGTTATCTTCTGCTACTGTTCTTCCATAGCTAAAGGAACCGGGGCACAGGGATACTGGAGGCCATCTAGAACTCCTTTCTCAGTCTTCTGACTTTCTCAACTACTTGTCCATGCCAACAGATAACATACGACTTCTAAGCCACAAAATAAATACCACATTTTCTCTCATGTTAAAGCTCAGCTACATCCTTTTTCAGTTTAACATTTTTATTCTTTGTGTGTGTGAGAGGTGTGTGTATGTGTGTGTGGTGTGTGAATGTGGATTCGGATGTGAGAGTGTCTGTGAGTCTGTGTGTATGTGTGATGTGTGTGGTGTATGTATGATGTGTGTAATGTGTGTGGTATGTGTCTGTGTATGTTGTGTGTGTGTCTGTATATGGTATGTGTGCATTGTGCTGTGTGTGTGGTGTGGTATATGTGTGTGAGTGTGTGTCCATGTCTGTCTGTGTCATGTGTGTGTCTGTGTGTGGTATATTGTATGGTGAATGTGTGTATCTGGTGTGTATATGCTCCTGTCACAGTGCACATGTGCACACAAGACTGCTTTCAGGAATCCATTCTCTTTCTACCATGTCAGTCCCAGGAATTGAACACAAGTTGTCATCAAGTTTGGTTGCACCTGCCTTAGCTGCTGAGCCGTTGCACTGAGCATTTTCCCATGTTTCTTCTTACTCTATCCTTCCATGTCGATCTGCAGTATATTTAAAATTGAACACAGGAACCAGTTTCTCTAACCAAACTTTATTAAGGCCCAAGTAAAAGTTGACTTTTAAAAATGCTTCCAGCTTAGTTATCTCATGGCCTGTGAAGAAATTTAGGAAAAAGACTTGCAGGTTTTCTTCCACTTGCTTTCTGTGCAATTTCTGTCCTTTTCCACATTTCCCTCTTGTTCAAACAATGACAAACAGTGGGGTCTTTGAGAGAATAGGCAAAGCCTTTAGGAGCCCAAGGCCTCGACTGAGTGAGATCCCCTCTGAATTCTCAATACTTTTCTTAGCTCTGTCTACGTGCTCATGCCAAGCTCTTTGCTATTAAAATGGGTGAATGGGGGTAGTTGGGACTTTTTTGTGCTAAGTGGTTTTCATAAAATTTTCCTGTCATGAACAAAATCTTTTCAGACTAAGTAGACAGCCATACCACCTCAACTTTGCAGGTATAGGATCTCTAAGGACCTTGAGGTGGGGCAGCATGTTCTAGGTTCATCCAGAGGTGTCAAGTCTAACATCATGCATTCCTGAGAATGACAGATTGTCAGGACCTGAGGGCTGCAATACACCAAGGACACTGCAGCCACTGTTGACTGAGATGATAGAGGAAGACCATCCTTAGCCAAGGAGCATGCTGGCCTCTGCAACTGAAAGGCCTTGCTTCACAGCCAGTCAACGAAGAGTCTTTATACCTCAGAGTCCTACCACCACAAGGAAGTGAAGTTTATGATCAGCTAAAATTTTTATTCTACAGTTTCCAGAAAGGAACATAGCCAGCTAACATACTGATTTTTGTCTGCAGAAACTCAGGTCAGACCTCTAGCCTGGTCTATAAGATAAATTGGGTTGCATTGTTTAAGCCACTGAGTTGTTAGAAATTTTTGTAGCATCAGTGGAAAATTAATGCCAGGAATAAATGAGACAATCCATATAAAGGAGCAACTGGGTATGCAGGAAGCATCCTCAACATTGGGCTCTGAAGCTGTGTTTGTGCTGCACCTCACATCAGTGTCTGCACTGCTGTGATGGAGTGTATGTTAGAGCCTGCCCAGTGCATCTGGTCCCTTGCTGCTGATGATAATTACTTTCTATAAACAAAAAGGAATCCTGACCCTTGGAAACAACTTAAAGGAAAGATGACTTAGGGACAAACCACTCACCCAGGAAATAGAATCCCATTTTATCTTTTATTTTCTGAATTTTAGATGTGTCACTACAGTTTAGAAAGTCACTGAAAACTTTACATGATCCTATACATTATATGTCATATAGTATGTATGTGTATGCATATTTTAAATATTACTTTCTTGTACATAAGATATTATTATGTGTAAATGTATATATTTCTTTACTTGTAATAAATACATAACATATGTGACATAAGTGCATGTATGTATCTTTAGAATGTAAAAAAGAGAAGGAGAGGGAAGCAGGAACAAATGGAGGGAGGGAGAACACCTGTTCTGTAGTCCTTTCAGGGAACAAAGTTACTGACAGGACCAGGGTGTAAAAAAGCCACCTAAAGCTAGGAAAACAGAAGGGTGCTGTGTAACCCACAGATTCCATACCCCCACGTGAGATTCTGAGCAAACAGAGGGATTTAGGAGTGGACAGAAGGGCTCTAAGAGCTGATCATGTGCTAAGTCCCCAGAGTGGAGTTTTGTTTCTGAGTCAGTGGGCTGAAGAACTTCTAGGTTCCCAAAGAATGTCCTGTGATTCTTCATTGATGATAACACTGAGCTGAAGGTTTATTAGAGAATCTGGGTCTGGGATAATTATTAATTCTTTATGCCCAAGTACAAAGATTTAAAATCTTACAACTCTGGCAAAAACTAAAGATCCTATAAAAAAAAATAGGCAGAGTCAATCAAGGTTAAAAACAAAAAAACTAACAAAAATTCAAGGAAACAAAATCCATGCTGATGTGATTCATTCATTCCCTGTGCTGTCTGATTGAAATTTTAAATTTTATGATGGCATACACATTTCCTTATGAAATACCTAACAATATAATATTTTAAAAAATTCCTTTTACCTCCACTTCTCTAGCTTCACATTTTTTGCCAACTGTTTCTGCATTGACAGTTCTTCCTTTAGCAACAATTCTATTTCTCAGCTCTGATTTTGAATATTGAAAAAAATATTGATGTGGGGCTGGGGATTAAACTCAGTTGCTGAAGTGTTCACCTAACAGGAAGAAGGCCAATCTTGAGACGAAGACAGCAAGAGGAGAAGTTCAAGGCCTTCCTCAACTACAAACTGGGGAGTTCAAATCTGCCTGGTCTACAGTTCTGCCTCTCTTCTCTACCTCTCTGTACTCCTTTTCCCGTCTCCAATGTGTGTGTGTGTGTGTGTGTGTGTGTGTACACATGCACATAAGTATAAGAAACAAAAATAAAGTTAAGTTAGTACCCTGCAAAAGCTGTTCTGCTGGGGTGGGGGTTGTTGTTGCTATTGTTGTTGTTTGTTTTGTGAGTTTTGTTTTCAGTTTTAGTAATATAAAGAAAATGACAAACAGCTTTCACATTCTCCCTATGAACTGCCTGCTGAACACGGCTCCACTGGGAATGACTGTGGGAGAGAAAGGAGAGCCTGCAAGGAGCTGGCAGGGAGTTGCTGCAGCAGAGGAGCTAGAGGTCCGGGTGGCAGAGACTGTGCTTACAGCTTTCTGTTTATCCCTCAGATCACCAGGACCTTGGCTTTCACTGTCTTCACTGCTGTGCTGAGTTCCTTCCAGTTCGGATACGACATCGGTGTGATCAATGCTCCTCAAGAGGCAAGTGAGACACACAGAGTTCGTTTGGGGCCAAGCCTTCTCTCCGTTCCTACTGCCTGCTGTATCATACATTCCTCAGTGAGATAATCTATCCACGTGAGAGACACGGGGTGATCCTGGCCAGCCGGGTACAATGTGCATTGGTCCACAGCTGATAATTTGGCCTTGACTCCTGGGTTAACAACCCTCTGAATCAAAAAAGGGCAGCGTGTAAGTTTTGATCTCTGACACTGCTGTGCTCTGAGCTCAGAGAAAATACTAACTCAATAGCTCCTGCTCATGAAGTCTAAAGACAAAAATTCCGTACAGCATTCAGTTACAGCTGTCCCCCAGCATGAATGAAAATATGTCAGGGAATAAGGACAAACAACAGAAAGATGTATTCCACTCAATGCAGTCATAAGCACCTCCACTAAAACAGTGGCTGTCCTTCCCTCTACCTGTCACCCACAGACCTTCAGTACAAAGTAATACAAGCATGAGATCAGCAACCAAGGGGTCCACGAAGTTTAGATTGTCTCTGTTGAGATGGAGAAAGTACATGGAGCTTTGTAAGGAAACATACAGCTCCTGCCATTTCTGTGTGTATTCTATGTATCTAGTCTCTGTTATGCATTAGATTCTCAGAGAGAAAGACAGAGAAACAGGCAGAGACAGAGACAGAGAGAGAGAGAGAGAAGGAAAGAGACAGAGACAGACAGAAACAGAGACAGAGAAAGACAGACAGACAGAGATCTCACTCTTCCCAGCTGCCACAACCCTTAGTTAGGAGACCAGGACTCCAACCCTTGTGCTCCAAGTCAGACTGGGAGCAAACACACCTGGGAGAAGTGCAGTACGGAAAGGGAGCCTGGAGGTGTGCTGGGGTGACAGGCACACCCGTCACACTTTATCATTTTATCAGACTGTCTTCTAGTTCTAAGGAAAACATCAGACACCATGGAGTGTGAACATCTAGAATGTGTATTGACCACAGTCCATTAGCTGACAGGAACCGCTCCTCAAGCTCCTTGGCTGACAAGGAGACATTTTCTCATTAAGTGTGCATCATCCTAAGTGTGTCAAACCTCCTGTTCTGGCTACAAGAGGATAATGCAGGAGGTTAGGAGATAAGGGTCAGGGGTCAGGGGACCAGGGTCAGGCATCTTATAATGAAAGAATGTGCCTAAAATCTGGATCAAACTAGAAACCCTTCCCTTCTCGAAGTCCCTTTTTACATCCCTACTAAACTACCTTCACTCGTCTCATCAGGAAGGTTAGGCTGAGATCGCCCCTCCTTTAATCCAAGCCCCTGAGTCAGAACTGAAACCAGGGACCCCTGTTGGCATTTTCTCCTGGTTGAATAACATCTGAAGGTATTTTTAAATCACAATTTTTCATGAGAATAAAAATTACACTTGCCCCTTGAGAAAACAGAAGACAAAATCACCTGCAATTATTTCTGCACCATATATTAAACTGCTAAGAATGGTTTGCATAATTCCTTTCAGCCTTTTCTCTATGCATACTATCAATTACACAGAAGTCTTGGTCTGTTGGTCAGACCTTCATAAGAGGATGTCACATCTCCCTGCTGCTGAGCTTGTTTTACCAGATAGGACTGTATTCATAATGGAACGGGGAACAGTTGAGGTCCAGGTCTTTGCTGGAGATCTATTCAGCTTACTGTGGCTACACACTGGCCAGGGCACTCCTGGGAATAGGATGGAGGAGGGACATGTGAGGGACATGCTGCTAGTCGAGTTTATGTTTACTCATGGCTATAGAAACACCATATAAAATGTGGCTAGAAATTTAGCTTTGAGGACCGTTCCTTCTGGGACAAACTGACCTCTCTGAGGATCCATAGAAGTACCTCCTTAGTTCTATATAAGGCGTTTCTGTCTTGAAAACTCATTAACTCCAGACTTGACCATTTGCATCTCTTTGCACTAACTGCTAGGAACTCTATGACTAAGTTTATAGCTCACGTCTACCAACACTACAATTCTATATAGTCTTTAGTTTTTACTCTGAACTTAGCTGTAGTTTTTTTTCCTTTTATGTTATCATTAAATCTTTTGTGCAAAACTAACACTGGTATACCTTCTCTACCTAAAGAGTGTCCTCAGTGTAAATAGTTGTCAACATTTAAATCTTAGAAAGTTTTTCATAAAAGCCAACATTTCTGGCAGGTATTATAGAATCCAAGGTTACTCACTAATGACATTCTTACTTTTTTAAAGATTTATTTATTAATTTTATGTATGTGAATACACTGTAGTTCTCTTCAGACACACCAGAAGAGGGCATCAGATCCCAGTACAAATGGTTTGAGCTACCATGTGATTTCTGGGAATTGAACACAGGACCTCTGGAAGAGCAGTCAGTGCTCTTAACCACCGAGCAATCTCTCCAGCCCTGATGATACTTTCCTATGCAGTTTTCTTGCTTGGCTGGAGCAGAGACTACCATGCCACAAAGCACGTGCCCGCTTCTATCTCCCTGCTAGTTGAAAATGTATTTCAGTGTGCTGTTCCTAGATACTCTGCACTTCTTTCAGGCATCTCTTCCCACCTCGCTCCACTTGGCTGAGTGTGTCATATTTTATAGGACATGATCAAACCGGTCTACCCACATCTGTATTAGGCAGATCACACAATTAGGATGCCCCATTTACACAGCTCACAGACATTTAAGGGCAGATCGAATGCTTATGGGGAATTCTGAAGTCATGGTTTTATTTCCTCAGGTGATAATATCCCATTATCGACATGTTTTGGGTATTCCACTGGATGACCGAAGATCTACCATTAACTATGACGTCAATGGCACTGACACCCCACTCCTCGTCACGCCAGCATACACAACACCAGCCCCCTTGGATGAAGAGGAGACTGAAGGATCTGCTCACATAGTCACTATGCTCTGGTCTTTGTCTGTGTCCAGCTTCGCAGTGGGCGGAATGGTCGCCTCATTCTTTGGTGGGTGGCTCGGGGACAAACTTGGAAGGTAAGTTTTATAAATGAATATGAACACAGCTTTGATATTTGTTATTGCTGGAAATTTTATAAACAGAAAGCATCTTCCCATTTGTGGGGTAGTATTTAAAGTTTTCAACTTAAAATCCTCTGAGCAAGGTCACTATTGGGCCAAATTAATAGAATATGCTGTCATAATCATCTGGTAAGTCCTAGTTACTATGGAAGTGGTTGAAGAAAAGTGAATTCTGTGTATATTTCCAGAGATTTTGATCCTCTAGCTTTGTAAGTTTTAAAACCCATGAGGGAGGCTCTACCAAGTTCCACCAGTTCTCAAACATTATTTTCATTTTTAAATTAAAATTTGACGCTTTTATTAGTGAAGTCTTATGGTCACTGTAACATCCTGGCAACTCGCTGCACACAAGGAACATGGCTTTCACTTCCCACTGTACCCTGCTGTATCCCAAAGTCCCAACCAGAGGTGAAGCTAATGAAACACCCCCTAACTCCAGTCCCTACACCATGCTTTGGATTAACAACATCAGTGTCAGAAGGCTTGGCTCAGTAGCTAAGAGGCAATACCGTACTTGTAGCGGACCTGAATTTGGTTCCCAGAATCCTCTGCCTGTAACTGTAGCTACAGGTGATCCAGTCCCCATTCATGGCCTCCAAGAGAACCTACACTCACACTTGCATATACCCATCCCGAGACGTACAAACATAGGTATTCAAACTTTAAAACAAAACAAGCAAACATCAGTGGAGTCAGCTGCATTATACACTTGCCAATGGATGTACCTAAGTCATTAGGGCTTCTGATAAAGTTAGAATAGCATGTTGTTATTTTTATGTTGATTTCCTGTTAATTAAATCCAACTTTTGTGTGTTAATTACCTTTTATTTTCATAATACAATTAACACATACAAACCATGGGAAATTTGGGAAATGCAAAAAAAATCAAAAGAGAAAAGCAGCAGTTTGGTAATTAGCATAATAACACTGGATTTTAATTCATTTTATTTTTTCATTTCCTACTATAAATTGTAGTCTTGGACTCATTATTTATAACTCCAATACCTCTACCGAAATCATATAAAATTCAAAAAACAGTAAAAGACTGACTATTCATAAAAGAAACACCTTTTCAAATATATAACAAAGCTCAGGTTATTGTAATATCCTTAGTTAAGAAAATTTGTAGTTTTACTTGTGAACTCAAAGAGGTTTGCCTACCTCTGCCTCCTGAGTACTGGAAGTAAAAGAAGTGTGTTACCACACCTGATCTGACGGCTTAAAGTGTACAGAGTAGTGGGTTTCAACACATGTACCCAGTGTATTTCATCATGTTTGTACCCCCACTCCATAGTCTCCCTGCCCCACCTCTCGTTCCTTTACTCTCTCAGACCCCCTCCTCTTAACCTAGTTTCTTTCTCTTTTTCTTTGTTTCTTTTCCTTTCTTAGTGAACCAATGAGCTTAATTAAGGTAACTCACACAAGCATGGGGAGGAGTTACTTTGAGGAGCATGCGCAACCTAACAGTAGCTATTCCACTGAGAAGAAAATCTCTCTCCTTCTTCCAACAGCTCTTTGCTGCCTATAGACCCTTAGGGCGGGATGAGGTCACATGGGACCCTTGCTTCACTATGACAGACTGTTGACTGGCCCAATCTTCTGCTTTTTGACTTTGCCCAGCCTGACAGAATAGACTCCATCCAGCTCATAAGTTCTTGGGGTGAACCATTGGATTTGTGTGTCATCTGTTCTTGCCAAGAGAAAAAGCATTTCCTAGTACTCTGAGCAGAGAGTGGGCCTTTAACTGGATCTCTCTCTGCACTGCAACCTCAGGGCTATCCAGCACCAGAACACCGCCTACATTAAGGTAGCTGGTGATGTCCAAACACCCTCACGCTACTAGAATTATCACCAGCCTAGTCACCCAACAGCACAAATTCATTTTCTTTCAATTTTGGAAGTTAGAACTCTATCATCCATTATACTTGACTAAAGCCAAGGTGTCCACAGGGTTGCTCCCTTCTAGAAGCTCTGAGAGGCAAATCCCTGCTTTGTCCTCTCCAGTTAATACTGCCCTGTCCTGTTCCTTGCTCATGGCCTTGTCCCATCTTTAAAAGTCCCATAGTCTTTACAAAGTCAAATACATTAAAAGTTCAATCTCTTCAACACATCCATTCTCTTTAAAAATCCAAAATTTCTTTTAAAAGTTGAAAAGTTCTTCACTGTGGGCTTTTGTAATAAAATAAAAAGTTAAATACTTTCTTACTTTAAGAGGGAAGAACAAGGGCAGAGTCACAACCTGAACACAGCAAAACCAAACTCCAACTATGTAAGTAATACCATGTCCAGTGCCTGGGATTCACTCACTGTCTTCCCCTCCAAATGGCTTGGGTCACTTCTTGGACTCCACTCCCTGAAGCACACACAGCTTGTCTTCTAAGCCCAGGCATAGTACTTCTGTACTTGTCAACAGTCTGTCAAAGTGAGGCAAGGGTCCCATGAGACCTCATCCCACCCTAAGGGTCTATAGGCAGCAAAGAGCTGTTGGAAGAAGGAGAGAGATTTTCTTCTCAGTGGAATAGCTACTGTTAGGTTGTGCATGCTCCTCAAAGTAACTCCTCCCCATGCTTGTGCAAGTTACCTTGATTAAGCTCATTGGTTCACTAAGAAAGGAAAAGATACAAACACTGTATTTCTGCTGCTGCTTTTGGTGGTCATCCAAGCTACCTGCATCTACATAATGCTAGAAACTTCTGCTGCCCATGGGTGCACGTCCACCAATAGCCTCACATAGACTCTCTTTGTGGTACCAAGCTTCAAGTTCTCTGCATTACTCTGTCACTCCCGAGCCTTCAACTGCCATTATGGTTGCACCTTCACCAATGGCCCCTCCTGGTCTCTCATGGTGCCAAGCCTCACCTTTTTTTTTTTTTTTTTTTTTTAGTATCTTTTGTTTACTAATGTTTTCTGTCATGTAGAATACAAGTGTGTTTCACAAGTACATAAAGAAACCAACAGTGAACTTCTAGTTTCCTTTTTACGGAAAGTTTTACAAACACTACGTGAAGTTCATCCTAGGATTGCCCTTGTGTTTAATGGCTTATAAGCATTTTCTAGTAAATGTATATGAATTAGAAGCTTACGAGTTTTAAGGAACATCTTCTATCACTCTTAAGTTTTAGAAGGAAGAAAACAATCATTTGTGGGGAGGGTTCCTGCAATGTCCAAGCTGTATTTTGTACAGGGTCTTATCTAATCTTTATATCAATTCTGAGAATTTGATGTTTAATTTCCCTCCCTCAATCCTTCTTAAGGTGATACTTGTTTATATTTCTGACATACAGTATGATAATTTTTTCTTCTTTTTATGGTAGTAGGGTGTGAATGCATGCCAGACCAGAGCCCTATCTCTGAGATGTTATACTTCAGATCTCCTAAAAATCAAGCCTCACCTTTTTAAGACCCTTTCATACCTCCAAATCCAGTACTACCTGCGTGACTCTTAATAGTTCAGCTGCTAGCACGAGGTACAACCTTGAATGCCTCTGGAACACAGCTTCTTTGTAATCTCAGGAAACATTTCCCAGAAGATTTCATCTCAACCATGCTAGTCTCCTCAATCACCACTAATTTCCAGCTCCAGCTGACTGACCAGCATCAAGTATCCCAGCAAAGCAAAGGTTTCACTCAAGTACTTCTGGTGTCTTGTTAATTACAGCTGATTCTTAAGCTCCCATTACCCAGAACCACAGAATAACAAATGACCCCAGTAGAGTCTTTATCCTTTCCTCTAAAACGTCACAGGTCAGGCCTCCATCTTCTGCATTGCCCTCCTCATTCTTATCTCTCACGCTCCTACAGAGCAGCTTACTGAACTCTGAATACTCAATGACTTTTCTACTACAAAATTTCAAAGTCCTTCCATAATCCTTCCAAAAATGTGTTCAAATGTGTCACAGCAATACCCCACTCGTGATACCCACTTCTGTCTTGGTTGGGGTTACTATTACTGTGATGAGACTCCATGACCAAAGAAACTTGGGGAGGAAAGAGTTTATTCAGCTTACACTTCCACAACACTGTTCATAATCAAAGGAAATCAGGACACACACGCAAACACAGCAAGAATCTGGAGCTGATTTAGCGACCATAGAGGGATGCTACTTACTGGCTTGTTCCTCCTGGTTTGCTGAGCCTGCTTTCTTACAGAATCCAGCTCAGGATGGCAACTCCCACAATGGTCTCTGCCTTCCTCTATTAATCGTTAATTAAGAAAATGCCCCATGGACTCACCTACAGTCCAGTCTTATGGGGGTATTTTTTTAGTTGAGGCTCCCACCTCCCAGATGACTTTAGTGTGTGTCAAATTGATGTTAGAACCATCCAGCACACCATCTAAGAAGGGCCTCACTTCATTCTCTGCTTCTATGATGGCTTCTCTTTCTCATCTGCACCTGCAATTTCATAGAGTTTACCTGAATATCCCGAGACACTCTTCCTGTCCAGGACTGTTATTGTAATCAAATCTGCAAGACCTCTTCTGTAGATATGGTGATATTTACAGAGCTTGAGGATTAGGACTTAGGCGTTTTGAGGACACCATTCAGCCTACCACATGGCTATTAGACAATTGCTACAGGTAGACACCTAGATTTTGTTTCTAGGAAAAGGTATGTTTTGACTTTAAGATGTTTGCTTATAAAAAAAAAAAGCCCACTTGACATCAGTGTGTGAGACACTGGTAGACAGAATGACAAAGTGGACTCAGCAGGGGCTTACATATCACATGTCACTGTGGCACCAACACCATCAACTTCTCTGCTCAGATTCTTGTACTGGCTTCATTACTTTTTACTTAACTTTCAAGAAAGCTCATGTGTGGTTTTGATACTTTTCTTAGTGATGTTTTTATTGCTATTGTAAGATTTAAATGTATTTTACAGCAGATGCATGGGGTGGCCCATGTCTATACTTGAAACACTGAAGAGGTCAAGACTTAAGAATTGCCACAGGTTAGGCCAAAGAGTGAATTGTGAACTAGCCTAGACTCTGGAATAAGAGCCTATCTATAAAATAATGTAATTCTTTTCACTTGGCTAATATTAATTCATAGATTTTACAAAGAAATATCTTGGCTTTGGGTGAAAATGAGGATAGTTATAACTGTGGCAAGCTTTAGAAGGACGTATTAATTTATCCAAGCAATTCCCACCAAAGGAAATTTGAGTTCAAAGTAGCAACTAAAGACCTTTACTATCAATAAAATGATAAAGAGGCAAATGATGAATAGCAACTATTGAAATCAGTTTTTCTGTCATCAAAAACACTGTTCCTTAAAAGAAACAAGTTGTAGAAAAATCAAATAATGAGTAAGTATCAGAAGTATCACCTTAAACTTGGGCCTATAATCTCAGCATTCTGGACACTGAGGCAGGAAGAGCTCTGAGAGCTCAAGGATAACCTGGACTACAGAGTAAGGTCCAGTTAGCCCAGGCTAGAATGAGACCCTAACCACCAAAAAAAAAAAAAAAACCAAAAATTTTTAAAAATCAAAAACAAAGGAATCCTCTCATGAAAATATGAGCCAGGTGGATGAAAGTCTCCATCATGAACAGTGCTCACGGCCATGTGTCTCCGTCATGAACAGTGCTCACGGTCATGTGTCTCCATCATGAACAGTGCTCACAGCTCATGTGTCTCCGTCATGAACAGTGCTCACGACCATGTGTCTCCATCATGAACAGTGCTCACGGCCATGTGTCTCTATGATGAACAGTGCTCACGGCCATGTGTCAGCTCATAGATAAGGAGGTAGCAAGCATGCTTCAGGAACTAGCTTTTCAGTAAAAATAAAAATAATTATTCATAGGTAGAATTCTCAACATGGTCTGAAAAGAATTTCTTCACATTTTGGTGCTGAATTTAAAAATGCTTTTAAAATTTCAGGATCAAAGCCATGTTGGCCGCAAACAGCCTCTCATTGACTGGAGCTCTCTTAATGGGGTGTTCCAAATTCGGACCAGCACACGCCCTCATCATTGCTGGAAGAAGCGTATCAGGACTGTACTGTGGTGAGTGACACACGCGTGCGCTCGCGCACGCGCGCACACACACACACAAACGCCATTGTCTAAAGGGCAGAGATCTGTGAAACTTAACATGGTATCACAGAAGGAAGGCAATGGGACACAGTAAGAATGAGTAGTGACACTATCTGTGTCTGTGGTAGAGTAAGATTGAGTTGTGTCACCATCTGTGTCTGCCCAACCCAGGAACATCATTTGTAGTTTTTTGGTCTTGGACAAATTATGTAACTGATTCTCTGTCCTTATCTATGAAATGAAGAGGACAATAACATTGGCCTCTAGTGGAACTGGGAGAATATACGTAAATTGTCAAGCATAGCATCTGGTGGAAGTGAACTTTATATAAACACTAGTTGTTGCTACTTCCCCTATGTTGCAACCTACAGCTGGTTCTCTTGAGACCATAACCCTGCACTGCTGGCCTATGCTATGGTGTCTCTGTCTTTTGTTGTTATGGTTAGGCCCAGCAACCTAACCCTGTTTCATCCTGGACCTGGCTGCCTGGAGCAGGAAAACTGTGATGTCCACTGGGAGAGGGAATTGGACAGAAACAGATAGTGGACCCCATCCTCCCTTGAACTTTGTATCTAGAAAACACACTAGTTTTGGGAGACAGGGTTTCCAACCTTTAGAAGCAGGAGTCTGAATAGAGATAGGAAAAGTCAACCACAAACAAATGGACAGATATTGGACTCCTTGGTGTCAATGAACCAATGGCTCCTCAGCGTCAATGAACTGATGGCTCTGGGCTGGCATTTTAACCTGTTTTCACAATTGGAATTGACCTCAAAGTCACAGATATTCATGAGGGATAGGGAAGAAATGGTGAAGGTACAAAAATTCTCTGATAACCTCCAATCCTCTTACAAAAAAAAAAAAAAGACTACAACTCTGTGTGTCCTTCAGATCATCAGTTGAAGCAAAAGGGTAATATCTCTTCTCATTATTTTCAATGTTAATACAAACAACTAAAAGAGGAGAGTCAGGTTAATGTGGAAAACACTGAGGACTCCAACAGAATCAACTCTGCCACCATCTCTAAAGATTATATTATATTAATTATTATAATAATTATATTATTATATTAATTATAGATTAGTTAAAACTCAACCTCAGTCTCTCCTATAAAAGATGAATAATAGAACTAGGAAATCGGTCCAAGTCATGCTCTATCCCTCCTCTCTCCTTTTAATATAATGTAGAAAACATTATATTTTTTCCAAATTGAAAACCATGCAGTGTGGTAGCATAGATCTAGCATCGCTAAGTGTCTTGTACTCTCCACAGTCATTTAAAGGGATGTCTCCCTGCATTCTGAGTATTAAAAGTTGCTAAAAAGAAAAGAGAAAGAAAGAAAGAAAGAAAGAAAGAAAGAAAGAAAGAAAGAAAGAAAGGAAGGAAGGAAGGAAGGAAGGAAGAAAGAAAGAAAGAAAGATTACAAGAAATAGAATTAAAACTGCAGTTACTATGACCTCAGACCAGGATGCTTATCTATGTCATTCTGTCCTGGCTACTAGAGAAAGGGCCAACCACAGAGCTCTCTCTTCGTCAGGCTCCAAGGCCACAGGTCAGAGTCACATGGAAAATTCTACAGAAGTGCAAATGCCATATCAACCATGTGAATCTACATTTGAGGCATTTGAAACAATTTTTAGTGTTAAATTATATATTTAAAATAGTTGACAAAAAGTACCTTTTGACAAAAGGCAATTTATTATAATTTAAAAGATGGGTGTTCTCAAATAGGAAGCCTACAGTAAATCTTATTTTTAAATTTTTAAGGAAACCAAACTCTGCAATTAGCAGATGCCTGCATATGTCACTATTTATAACATACCTAATTATGTGTGTGTGTTAGAGATCTACAGGAGGGCTGGAGAGATGGCTCTGTGGTTAAGATCACTGGCTGCTCTTCCAGGGGTCCTAGGTTCCATTCCCTGCACTGAGATGGCAGCTCACAATCTGAGTTCAAGTTTTACAAAATAAAACTATAGACAATGCAAGATAGATAACCCAGCAAGTCAAAGCCACAAAGACTGCCAACCTGAGTTCAATTGCTGAGCCCCACAGGGAAAGAGATTACAGACTCCTCTGAGTTTTCCTCTGACTTTCACATAGACAGAGGGACACGCACGCACGCACACACACACACACACACAGTCTAAACAAATAAATGTAATAAAAAGGATATAGAAAGCATAATGGCTCAGTACTTTTCAAAATCTTTGTGTTTAAGTCTTTTTTCAAATAATATCTGTAGATTGCTTTTGGTAAGATGGCTATCTTTATTATATTAATCCTACCGATTCACAAGCATGGGAGATATTTCCATCTTCTGAGATCTTCTTTTGTTTCTTTCTTCAAAGGTTTGATGCATTTGTCATACAGGTCTTACACTTGCTTGGTTGAAGCTACCTAAGACAGTTTATATTATTTGAGGCTACTGTGAAGGGCATTGTTTCCCTGATTTGTTTCTCAGCCCATTTGTCATTTGCATATAGAAGGACTACTGATCATTTTATTTAATTTTAATTTTATTTTATTTTGAGTATCCAGCCACTTCACTGAAGGTGTTTATCAGCTGTAAAAGTTCCCTGGTAGACATTTTGGGATCATTTATGTATACTATCATATCATATGCAAATAGCAGTACTTTGACGTCTTCCTTTCTCATTTGTATCCCCGTGTCTTCTTCAGTTGTCTTAGTGCTCTAGCTTAAACTCCAAGTACTATATTGAATAGATGTAGAGAGAATGATCAGCGTTGTCTTGCTCCTGATTTTAGTGGCATTTCTTTGAGTTTCTCTCCATTTAATTTGATGTTGGCTAGAGGCTTGCTGTAAATTGTCCATTTTATGTTTAGATATGTGTCTGTTATTCCTAATCTCTCCATGACTTTTATCATGAAGGGGTGTTGGATTTTGTCAAAGGCTTTCTTAGCATCTAATGAGATGATCATGTGAGTTTTTTCTTTCAATTTGTTGATATGGTGAATTACATTGATAGATTTTTGTATATTAAACTACCGTTGCAGTTCAGAAATGAAGCCTACTCAATCGTGGTGATCTTTTTTGATGTGTTCTTAGATTTTGTTGGCAAGCCTTTGAAGCCTAAGATTTTTGGTGCAATGAAGAAGCTAGGTTGTCTTTACTGGGCAGCTGGGAAAGAGCCCTTGAGTTCCTTATCCTCTTCCCCCTTCTGCACCTCAATACCATGCAACAGAGATCTTAAGGTAGCCCCATGTGGTGTGGACTCACCTAGGCACGGAACCTATGTGTAGAGCTCTTCTCCAGCATGAGGTATTTCTTGCCTTTCTCCCGAAGTTGGCTTCTTTGATGTTAACTTCCTTTAATCCTCTAAGTCTGAATAGCTATTAAAATATCCTCTAGGCTCTTTTCTCAAGATAACCTACGCTGCTATGATGTAAACTAAACTCTAACATGGAAAAATTTTTAAAATCATGGAAACTGCTCAAAATACAACTAAGCATTTCTTTCCATTAATACTTCCAACAACACCTTCATTTAGTACAATATCAACCAAGGATTTCTGCATGAACTAATAGCAACCAGTTTTCTGCATAAACTGTGCCTATGTTTGGGGACAAGGGCTCCTCCAAGCCATCTGGGGAGTGAGTTTCGGTAAGGATACTGATCATAATTGAACTATGCAACGTGATTGAAATGCCTCAGGTTGTATTTTAACATTTGTATGTTTGTATCTCATACAGGGCTAATTTCAGGCCTGGTTCCAATGTACATTGGCGAGATTGCTCCAACCACACTCAGGGGTGCCCTGGGCACTCTTCACCAACTGGCCCTTGTCACAGGCATTCTTATTAGTCAGGTAAACCCTCCTCGTCCCTCACTTTACCACCTTCAACTTTGCCCCTCTTCCCTCTCCCATCTCACACTGACTGCAGACAGCCATGGCCAGGGAGGGAGGAGACCATTGTTTCCCACAGTGGCAAAGGAGGCAGTGTAAAAAGGCAGGCTTTTAGCTCAAAGGTGAATTATTTCCACTCTTCACATCCAACTTGGAGCTGCTGGTGGGATTGGCAATACACATGAAAGTCTCAATGGTATCCTAGAATTAACATGTGAATGTCAAGAAACAGTCAACTCCAGAGTTTTGACTGCTTGAGTTTTCCTTGCCTTGAGTGAGTTATCTGGTGATAATCTCCTCTTCAGCTGGTGCTCCCTCTCTCCATTCTACCCTCTGACCTCAGAAGGATCTTTGGAATCCTGTACTTAAATATCTAAAAGGAAGTCTGTAAACCACCACGTGGGTATCATAAAGCTGGTTGTCCTTATGTAATTGTTCTTCTGTGAAATAGTTACATTCTGCATAATCTAAGATGGGATTTTGAAAGCAAAGCCCGAACTCACATATTCCCCTGCCCCCTCTGTGTGTATGATGCACATGTTCATGTGCATGCATGAAGAGTGTATGTAGCCGCCAGAGAGTGATGTCAGGAGTCTGTCAGTCTCCATCTTGGTTTGGACAGGGTCTCTGAATCTGAGCATGTCATTCTGGGTACACTGACTGGCCAGTGAGCTCCGGGGATCTGCTTGTCTCTGTGTTTTCTCAGGGCTGGTTTGTTACAGACACACATCGCCACACATGGTAGTGATTCTAACAGTACAATTCTACCTGGTTGCCTGCAAGAACAGGAAACTGATATCAAATATTCTTGTAAAAGTTGAGTTGATCTCCAGAATAAATATCCAACTAGAGTGAATGAAGACAACCATAGATGAATTCTTTACTAGCAAACTGTTCTTGACTTGGTTTGAATGGGACTCACTAATGTCAGCCTCCCCTTTGTGCCAGTATGAACTAATAGTCATACTATTCAAAGATCACTACTAAAAAGCCAATGCATCTTTTAATGAATTTCTGTATAAGGCAGACCCAAAGCAGCTCATATGCTCTTTCCTTGTCTTTTCAGATTGCTGGCCTTAGCTTTATTCTGGGCAATCAGGACTACTGGCACATCCTACTTGGTCTATCTGCTGTACCAGCTCTCCTGCAGTGTCTGCTACTGCTCTTCTGTCCAGAAAGCCCCAGATACCTTTATATAAAATTGGAAGAGGAAGTCAGGGCAAAAAAAAGTAAGTCTGCAGTAGGGAATTGCCTCTTTCTGTTATTGAGGGATTATCAGCTAATACAAATAGTATGTGTGAATGAGTGCTCATAAAATTAACATGGGACCTTGTAATTGCTCAGAAGAATACAAAGAACTTAGCTATGGCTACAGAATTGTGTTTTTACTTAGAAGTGACTGGTGAGCTGTGTATTCACCCACACCAGGAGCTCCTATGTAGCCTACCAGATCTCTCTCTCTCTCTCTCTCTCTTTCCAAAGTCAGATATTCTGGTTTTTTTTTCTTTCTTTAATCAAAAAACAGAATTTAATTCAACAACAACAACAATCTATAGTATCTGTGCTGTTAGGTCAAAAAAAAGGTGGGGGGAGGCACGCACAACTATAGTGCTTTGCGGCCAGAATAAAAATACTTACTTCTGTTTGATCTGGGTTGTTTCAACCTGACTGTTTTGGGGGAAACAGGTTTGAAGAGACTACGAGGAACTGAGGATGTTACCAAAGATATTAATGAGATGAAGAAAGAAAAGGAAGAGGCGTCAACTGAGCAGAAGGTCTCTGTGATCCAGCTCTTCACGGATTCGAATTACCGACAGCCAATCCTTGTGGCGCTGATGTTGCACGTGGCTCAGCAGTTCTCTGGAATCAATGGGGTAAGCTTAAGAATGCCTACCACTAAGGAGCAAAGGGAGCTGAGACAGAGACTCAGGCTTAAGCCACAAAACATTTGTAAATACTGACATCAAGTATTTTTACATGTTTGATGGAGACACTGGGGCCCAGTTGGTATACTGCTTGCCACTGCAAATGAGAGGATCTGAATTCAGAGTCTAGTACCCACATACAAATCAGAGGTTAGCTGTAACTGTATATAAAATCCCAGTACTGAAGGGTGGGAGATGTGCTGATCCCTGGATCATGAACATGATAGTCTAGACAACTGATGAGCTTCAGATTTTGAAAGACCCTGTCTCAAAAAATAAGATGGAGAACCACTGAAGAAGACACCCAGTACTGACGGATTACTTCCACACACATATGCACGCACATTCAAATGCACACATGAATAAACACAAGCAAGTCCACATGCATATACCCAACACAAGGGTTGGGGGTGTAAGTGTATGAGTATAAGACAAACGCTATAATGAATGAAAAGAGAGGAAAGAACACTAGTTAAGTTACTTCTGACCTCCAGCCTAAATTAGAAGGTTCTTAGAATATAAAATCTCAGATTTCTAGTAATCTACACAAAAAGGAGTATGTGGTTCCATTTGGATGGTATACTTCAGATAGTCAGATAGATATATAGTCAGATAGATAGATAGGTGATAGATAGATAGATAGATAGATAGATAGATAGATAGATGATAGACAGACAGATAGATGCAATAGCAACCAGAAATGCTATCTACATGAGTGAGTATATAAAACATCGTTACCTTTTTGTAACTGTTAGGCAGCATCTGTATCAAAGGTGAATTTATAACAAACGCCATGACCCAGTAATTCTAATCCTGGTTGTAAATACTCACATACTCCACTAAAATAATTGGTAAGAGTGTATGCCTGCCAGGAATGGTGGTGCATGCCTTTAATCCCAGCACTTGGGGGGCAAAGGCAGGCAGAGCTCCATGAGTTCAAGGCTAGCCTGGTCTACATAGCAAGTTCAGGACAGCCAGGACTACACAGAGACTTTTTCTCAAAAACCCCAAAAATTAAAAAAGTATATACCCAGAAGCACTATTTATAAACACCCTAAAGGAGTAGATCCGTAAAAAGCCATCAGTAGAATAGGTAACTGAGTTGTAGTATGCAGTTATGTCAGAATGGCACACAGTGGTGCCAATGAACAGTCCAAATGCACAAGACAGCGAGGATTCTCATGGAGATGATGGTTAGCAAAAGAAGCCAGAACAAGACATCATGTAGGATACATTGTCATTTATATCAAGTATAGAACTTGACAAAATTCATCCATCAAGAGAGATGTTAGGAAAGTGATTCTCTTAGGAAATGAACAAAGGGAGAGAAGGGTTCGTCCGAGTTGTCGGTGAGTTATTCCTTCACCCGAGTTCTCTTTACATGGGTGAAATCAGTTTTTAAGATGATTGAGCTGGTCACTTATGGGTACCGTTATAGGCACGCTATACTTTAACAAAAGGTTTAGAAATTAAACAAATAAAGGAAATGAAGTAATGGAATTTTCAGGTTAAGCCAAGAACTTTTAAGAAACCAGGAGCTTTAAACACTGGTGGAAGACTTGTCTGAGAAAAGGGTGAGGTCAAACTTAGGAGATTCTAGGGACCGTGATTCCACAAACACTAAAAACAAGCAGCCATATGTCTCGCTTCCAGGACTTCAGTGGGAGGTTCCCTGCCTAAGGCTGGCCTGTTCTTCTTTTGCAGATATTTTACTACTCAACCAGCATTTTTCAGACAGCTGGCATCAGCCAGCCTGTGTACGCAACCATTGGTGTTGGTGCCATTAACATGATCTTCACGGCTGTCTCTGTAAGTCTCGAAGAGTACTTGTCCAGGAGTGGAGGGGGGATGGTGGCTTATGTCAAACAGTGATCAGCAACTCTGTCCACGTGCACTGTGTGTGTATCACATAAGAGATGTGTGAGATAAGTGAATGGTGGGAACGGTCTGTGCACACCCCAGCCACTGACCAAGGTGGTGAGTCACTGGAGAGCCATGTGCATTGCGCCAGTCACTTACTCATTCGGTGAATTAATAACTCACTGGCAAGACTTTCTCTCTGTAGGAGACTCTGGGTTCTTGTCCTTCTTCTCTATTTAAACACTTCGAGCCTGCACACAGGCTACCATTGTAGTGACATAGGGCACATTCCCTAGCCTGTCTCTGACTGGTAGAGATATCTCATTCTGGCATCTTGGGGAGAAATATTTAAAAAGCTAATAGATAACTAAACCTTTACATGAAATTAAACAAACAGCAAATTCCTATGATGTTAGCTCATGGAGCAGAACTTCCAGGCAGCTCACAAGTCTCTGGTGATACATACAAATATGTGAAGTCTGGTTAGAAATCGTATAAACTGTGAATTATCATTGTTTCCCCAATTCCAACAGAAAAAAGAAGTTATTTACTTTCTTAAAGCCTATGAGTAGCTTGATATTTTGACATAATAAAAAAAAAGTACAAAGATTTCTCAACTAATGAAATTCACTCAAAATGAGACTAATTTGTCTTATTTTTATCTTTGAGTATAACATGTTCAAAATGCTTTTGAGTTTTCTTGTTGGCCATAATACTACACTCCACTTCTTTAGGTCACCTGTGATTTTTCTCTGTACATGGACTTTAACGTTTACCTTGGGATGGTCAATAAATTACAGCCTGGCTCCCCAGATCTTATTAAATAGTGCCAGATCTCAGGGAGTAGAGAAACACAAACAAATCACAATGCTGCAGCTCCACAACTAGACTTTAGAGACAGTACCTGCCCAAGCCAACAGCTGCTTCCATCAATAATGCCCCTTGCTGGGACATAATCCAAGAAACTCATTGTCCTTTTTATCTCCTGGAAATGATATTTTTTTTACAAAATGGATGCTATTATAAAAAATGCTTATAATAGCATTTTCTATATACAACATCAAGTTGTTAATATTGGGTAACCAAATTCTAAGGAAAAAAGGAAAAAAATTGTGGAGAATTTTATTTCATCCCCCTGTACTCAGGCTCATTTAAATGGAGGAACAGTTTAATTGGTAAATATTATAAACTGTAATTATACTCAGCATCTTAACTGTTTTGAATATGGAATTTTTTGAGCTCATTCTTTTCTTTTACAAAGTCTTAAAGTAGATGATTGACACACACACAAAAGCAGTTCATTAGCACTCCACAATTAGAGAAATCACAGAAGGTTTTTTAATTTAGGTTTTATGAATAGTGGCAGGCTACACCTAGCACTCAGGAGGCAGAGGCAGGAGGATCTCAAGGCTCCACAGCAAGACACTGTAGCAAACCAAACCATATCAAAATACAACAAAAGAGTGTGTGTGTGTGTGTGTGTGTGTGTGTGTGTACTTGAAAGCAATGTTCAGGAGAGAATGCGACTCAATTTTCAAAACTTGCATTTTTAGCATCTATTATCTAGTTAATATTTTTCATAGACAGAGGAAAAAGATGTAAAGGAGCCTCTGTTCCTGCAAAAACATACCTGTTTTCTCATACTTTGACGATCCTATGGCAATACCATGTATCATCCCACCAGCTTTGAAAGAATAAAAAGTGTATAAGGGGCCAAACCTTAGAGTGCTCTGGGAGTCCTGTGGGGAGAGTGGGAGGAAGGTCAGAGCAATCAGAGAGTTCAAGGACACCACAAGAACACATGCCAGAATCAAGTGACAGGAACTCGTGGGGAATCAGAGAGATCAAGGAGCCTGTAAGGGTCTGACCTAGGTCCTCTGCATTTTGTTATGCCTGAGTAGCTGGTGTTCTTGTGAGACACTAACAGTGGGAGTCAGAGCTAACCCTGACTCTCTTGCCTACTTGAGGAGCCCATTTCCTCCTGCTGGGTTGCCTCGTCCAGCCTTGATGTAATGGAACATGCCTGGTCATATTGTAGCTTGTTATGTCATGTCTGGTTGATGTCCCTTGGAGGCCTGCTCAGAAGAGGGGAGCCCAAGGGGGTGAACGAACGTGGGGAAGGGGGTGAATGTGGGGAAGGGGGTGGACGTGGGGAAGGGGGTGAATGTGGGGAAGGGGGCCTGAGGGGACTGGACAGAGAAAAAACTACAGAAGAGATGTAATATATGAGAGAAGAATAAAAAAAATTATAGGGGCTGGAAAGATAGTTCAGTGGTTAAGAGCACTGGCTGCTCTTCCAGAAGACCCAGGTTCAATTCCCAGCACCTACACAGCAGCTCAAAACTGTCTGTAACTACAGTTCTAGGGAATCTGACACCCTCTCTCCAATGCACATAAAAGTAAAATAATTTGTTTAAATGTATAAAAGGGCTAGAGAGGTGGCTCAATGGCTAAAAGAACTGAGTGCTCTTCCACCAGACCCGAGTTCAATTCCCAGCATCCACATAGTGGCTCACAGCCTTCTTTACCCTCCAGTTCCAGGGCATCTGATGTCCTCTTCCTAGGTCTGCAAGGACTGCAGGAATATGATATACAGACCTACATGTAGATACAGTACCTCACACAGAAAATAAAATATAATTTTAAAGAAATATATAGGAACCCTTTTCTTGCTTACTTCTCAGTAATTAAATGTAGGCTCTTGACTGTCCTTTCTAGAGTGATCTGAAACCCTGGCATGAGTATGCCCGAGATGAGAAAGGCTTTCACTGCAGGTAAAGACAAATGTGCCACAGATGCCTGCAGACAAAGCTCAGCATGCTGGGGTGTCGGTTTGCTGTGGACTTACTTAGATTGATGAACATAGCCAGTTTACTCACTGAGATGGGAAATTATAGAGTGTGTGTGTGTGTGTGTGTGTGTGTGTGTGTGTCTAGTACTGACAAGATTCCATGGGTCAGACTCTAGTCAACAAATATTGATCTTGGTTAATAGAAAATCTCACCCATTGATGCAAGAGTTCATAAGTCAATGCCAGGTGCCCTCAGGATGAAGAAGCACTCTAATGTCTCACTGTGATGTCGTCTGTTTACAAATACACAGTTCACTCCCACAACCCCCATATATCAGCACGACGGGAAAACACAGGCCTCACTATTTTAATACAGTGATCAGACTCTAAATGTCACTAGATAAGTGATCATCATTTGACTTTCTTAAGCACTGAGGAGTTGGGTAAGATTGGCTGACACCTGAACTGTCACACTGTCTCCCCTGTCTGTGGCACACAGACTCTTGCAATGATTAAAATCAGCAGCTGAGAAACCAGGGCCACCTTTCTGGTTTTAGCATAACAAGGCTTTTCCTTTCTTCTGTAATGTTGGGGACTGAATCCAGGGCCTCATTATGTGAGGCCAGGGTGTGGGCTACCACCTCGGCCTGATGACTCGTTCACAGCTTCATTGTAGAGGTAATCTTAGGAGACACCAGGGCATAGAGCCTCTCACTACTGTGCTCATAGCACCCTAGTCCATGTCAAGTCTGAACTTCTCAAAACAATATGGCCAAATTAAGCCAATGCTTAATTTCCACTGTGTACTGAGACTAGCACCACAGTCATCCACAAGCATCACAGCTCACCTCAGTTGTGCATCTGTAAAATGGGGTCGCAACACTGCCTTGGCCCCCTACATACAAGACAACAAGCTCCTTGGTGGGAAAGTGTTGTTGCTTGGCTCAGGATGCTGACATCATGTTTTGTAAACCTTCCTAGGTACTGCTTGTGGAGAAGGCAGGGCGGCGGACCCTATTCCTAACCGGGATGATTGGCATGTTTTTCTGCACCATCTTCATGTCAGTGGGACTTGTGTTGCTGGTGAGTTTGGTACCTGGACTGGTGTTTTAAATCGCAAGCAGGCATCTCTGGCCTCCATGTTAAAGAGCTCTGTGTGATAACAAGCGCTTGAGACTGGCTTATGAAATAAAGAGGAGACAGGTAAAGGAAAAGGGAACTAACTATGTTCTTGGAGTTGCAGAGTAGGGTACCAGCAACCCACTATCCATTGCTGCATGGTCAGGGCACAGGCTCCATGTGTACCTGCTGGGATAACCATGGGCAGGTACCTGAACCTCCCTCTCAGCTCTGTACCCTCATCCAGCTTCAGAGCGAGTCACAAACCTTTTCTGGCCATCTTGGTAGGGGACTTTAGGGTTCTGGATCTTCTTGCTTGTCACAGGAAAAGAAAGAGTGACCATGGAAAAAACTCCCAAAGACCCTAAAGCAAGAGACTGTCTGGGCAGAACCTAATACAGAAAAACCAAAATGCCCTAAAATAAGAGATTGGACAGGCAGGACCTCTTAACACAGAAGCAAGATTTGGGTTGGACTAAGTTGTCTCAAACCAGAGTCATTTAAACTTGATGAAAACGAACACATGAGAACTTGGCCCACCTCAGAACTTAGCCTGAGAGAACACAGAAGCTGCTAAACTCTGCCCGTCTCACTTAAGATTTTCTCTTTGTCTTCAGGATAAGTTCGCCTGGATGAGTTACGTGAGCATGACAGCCATCTTCCTCTTCGTCAGTTTCTTTGAGATTGGGCCAGGTCCAATCCCTTGGTTCATGGTTGCTGAATTTTTCAGCCAAGGACCCCGTCCCACTGCTCTGGCACTGGCTGCCTTCAGCAACTGGGTCTGCAATTTCATCATCGCCCTCTGCTTCCAGTACATTGCGGTAAGCGCACACACTGTGCGAGCCCACAAGGACAGGGCCGGCCATGCAGCTGCTGACTCCATTGTTTCCTCTCTTGCAGGACTTCCTCGGGCCTTACGTGTTCTTCCTTTTTGCTGGGGTGGTCCTAGCCTTCACCCTGTTCACATTTTTTAAAGTTCCAGAAACCAAGGGAAAGTCTTTTGAGGAAATCGCTGCAGAATTCCGGAAAAAGAGTGGTTCGGCCCCACCACGCAAAGCGGCTGTACAAATGGAATTTCTGGCGTCTTCAGAGACTGTGTGAGGATGACCTGTCTAAAACCAAGGAACAGACCCGAAGGGAGCAACGTGCTCCCTCTTAAGGCGATTCCTTCATGGGAGTAGAACTATACCCGGGAGTATTGCTTATTCCTTCTGAAGAATGTGTACAGACTCCGATTAGAAACGTCAACATATATTATTACCAAAGAAAGTATTTTTTTTAAACTTAGAGACTATATTTTTGATCGTAAAACTCTTAAGTAAACCAAAGAGGTTATTTTGCTACTCTACAGGGAAAGTATGTTATATCTTCCTAGCCCTGTTCTACTTAAATTGAAGAGCTTTCAACTTATCGATGAATTTTAAAGCACGTGACTAAGAAACCTGAAGCTACAACTGATATCTATATATTTAAATATAATTACATTGGAGTTTTCTTAGCCACAGATCTGATGCTAAAGAACAATATGGCTGGTGTCAGCAAGGCTCACATTCAAACTGACTTTTCTGTTACCCTTCTTCGGCTTCTCTCACGTGGATCGGACTTGGTGTTTTGCTTAAAACTATTTTTCTGCATTTTTATATAGAACTCCTGAGTATGTTCAACTATATTTGTAATGAAAAGCTCTTTTTTTATAGCTACCAAAATCTTCCTATAGTGGGAGAAAACATCTCAGTTTCTTTGATGTATTTTGCAAGGTTAAATGCTTGAGCTGTTCCTAGCCGTAGAGCCTAGCTTATCCATTAATATTAGCATTCTAAAGCATGTTAGTTTCTCGCCACTTCAGCCTTTGTGTTGTACTTTTACTTGGCTTTTTTAACTACCCATGGCACACACTTAAACCATTAGGAGTCAGGCATTTTGCATATTGCCTCCAAAATCTAATAAACTGGATCAATCACAGGGAAATCTGGAATAAAAAGTTGCTCTATTTGTTAAAAAAAAAAAATTTTTTTTAAATTCTGATCTCAAAAGAAGTTGAACTCTTGGGCCTAAGCCTCCTCTTTAATTTCTCTGGAAACACCACGTGGGTTCCCTGGTGTGTCACAGTCACCCCTTTCACCTGGTTCTCTTTATCTTTACCACACGAAGGTCCTATGTAAACGACCCTCTAGCTAGCACTGATCTGTGCAGGCAGAGTGGCAGTACTGTCCCCAATTCTAGTTAAGGACACACGGGTATAATGCTTATCAGGCAACTAAAATGTCTCCAAGCTGTTTTCCTTACAAAGTAGAGCAGAAGATCAATTATTCATGTATGCATGGATGGATGGATGGGTGGGTGGATGGATGGATGGATGGATGGATGGAAGGATGGACAGGCAGACGGACAGACAGATATATATTGAAGAAACTGCTTAATCTTTTCATCTGGGGTAGGGGTCAGGTCAGGGTCTGATGTACTCTAGCCTGGGCTCTTAAACTCTTACACTGACCTCCCAAGGGCCAGTGCTGGCATGCGCCACCAAACCCACCCACTGAAAAACACATTTTCAAAAAAATTACTCTTGAAATGTGAAAATTCTAAATGTGAAGACCTTTCTCCTTTCTGTCTCTTCCTTCTTTTCTTCTCTCCTCCTCTGTCCCTCTTGCTCTGTTAATTTAAGAAAGAACTTCTGTAGTCTTCTGTGATCTGGACCTGCAGTGAAATCAAGGCTAGCCTCAAACATTTGATCCTCCTGCCTCTGCCTCCAAGGTGCGGAGACACAGGCATGTGCCACCGTGCTTGACACTTTCTAGTGCTTTTTGGCGTTTTGCTTGGTCAAACTTATCCACATATATACATTCAGTTTAAACCAGCATGAAATAAATATATATATATATATATAGAGAGAGAGAGAGAGAGAGAGAGAGAGAGAGAGATGATTTTCTTCTTCTTTGGGGACAGTTTGGGAGATTTTTTTTTTAATTTGACATTTCAGGAGTCAAACAAAAGTAAGCTAAAGTAGTTCAGCAAATGTTTGTGCTAGGCTGTGGATTCAGAGCAAAAATGCAAATCTCTTAAGTATGGCAGGGGCTCTTATCCTCTACTAAAGAATTCTGACAGCTTCTGAGAAGTTTAGATTCCAACAAATGATTCAGAGACTTAATGTTTCTACATGAATGACTGTGCTTTCTATCAAATCATGGTCCCTGGCTCAATCTCTGAAAGAATAAAGTAGTAAAGTTTTCCAAAAGAATAACCCCCAAAGATCACTTTTAAGACGTGTCTATTTATTTTTAACCGACCCCAAATTCAAGATATTCCAATCTTGATGTTTTCTGTCTCAGAGAAATGTAAGTAGCCTACTGTGCTCCTGGCTGGGATGGGCATTCCTCATTCCCCACTCCACCTACCGAGATCAACAGATGCTCAAGGCCTTGGATAGAGTGGTGTATCCTCTGTAGTCAAAAGTCATCTCTAGATCACTGAAAAGACAATGCAAACACTATGCAAATAGTCATTGTGCTCTATTATTTAGAGACTAATGCAGGGGAAAACATGAGTGCATGCTTACTGCAGATGCAATTTAAAACTCCCTCTGAGGATGCAGAACCACGAGTATCAATAAGCAGCTCTCTGTGTTTGCTGGGGAAATATTAAAGGAAAACAAAAAGTGAATAAAGACAAATATACTAGTTGATCTCACCACCACCACCACCATCATCATCAAACTATTGGCCTTTAGTGGTAAATAACAAGACCAGCTCTACTACATTAATTTCCAGAAAAATTAGATGGAAGGTCAATTTCCTGGTATTGTTTTTGTAGAAGTACTTCCATCCAAGCCTGACTTTTCTCTCTCCTTGTCTGAAGTACAACCAGACTGCTACACCTGGCTATTGTCTGCACTTGGGGAAGGGTTTGGTCTAAGTTTCCATCCCCAGCCTTCCTGGGCATGAACTGCTCTATAATACATTCTGAGCTGTAGAGAGACACTGTTCACACACACTTCAGGGAGCTTATGGTCTAACAGCAAGTTAAGACAGACAAGGGGATTCATGAGTGCATGAATCCTTTTGCTTTCCTTCAGCAGCATTTGTAGAAGATGGAAAGGACATCCTTTCCTATCTCAGCAAACATCCTGAGTGCTAACCACAGGGCCAAGCATAAAGGATATTCCACAATGGTACCTAGAACTGTGTTCACAGAAATGCTGTCAAGAAAAAGGTAGTGGCAAGGAAGACTCCAGTAATCCTTTCAAATAACAGGAGTTTGTAAGTTCAAAGTGATATTTTCTTACTTCAAGGAATAAAATATTGCAAAACAAGTCAATGATAAAATGCCACAGAAGATCCTATTCTAACTCCTAAATCTAAGTACAGTGTTTCCAAGTTAGTCTGGCAGAGTTTTTATTTTGTTTTTAAACGTGCTTTTGCCTATGTTATGTTATATTAAGGGACCTATGTTTAATATTATTTCTTTGGATAATATTACATACAAAATAAAACATGCATTTAAATTTAATGTATATAAAGGGATTACAATAACAGGGCAAAAATCAAACCATATTTATAATTCTTAAAAATTGTAAAAATGTTACTAACCCATGTGTATGTACCAAATATGCTTTTTTTTTGCCAGCACATGTAGAAAATAAAAAATTGTTAGGCAACATCTGTGCTTCCAGTGTCCTAAATAGAGATAGTGCATAAACTGCAGACACATGTACATGTGATTTCTGATAAAATTCTATATTAGGAATACAAGAAGGAAAGTCTGCTGGCCGCCACGTTGCTCACTCTGCTGGCATCTGTAGTGATTTCTAAATATATATATGAAACTGGTCTTAAGTTAGAAACTCACATACAACTACTATTCTTTTGCCCACAAATACATTTCTGAATGCTTGGTGCTGCTGACTTTATATGGAAAGTGCCCACATTAATAAAAAAAATAGTTATATTAGTTTACTGTGCATGTTTTTTTTTCTCAATGTATGTATTTTTCCTTATTCTTATCTTAGGGATAAAAGATGAGCTATCTTTAAGCTTGAATTTTATGTCGACCTGCAGTTGTTTTATTTTCATCTTAAAGGCTAGGCATGGTGGAGGAGGGATGAAACAGACTCAACTCTATAGCATTTTATTCCAACACCTGCCATGGGCAGAGTGTTGTAGAGCCCTGTGCACAGTACAGAGTGGAGAACTTGACTCCTATTCTCCGTCAGCTGCACACTCATCACAGGACTGAGAGCCAAAGGTTTCAGTGCTGTAAATAAGTACAACCAGAGGAAAAGACAGAACTGCACCTCAGAACCTTCTCACACTTCTAATGTGACAGTTAAAATTTCTCATCTCACTAAGTGACAATGATAGAGCTTTTCAGAATGTGGTATAGATCGCCATTAAAGTTACTGTTGTTGGGGCTGACATCTCGTGGATTAAAGTTCTTGCCCCATCAGCCTAAAGATATAGATTCTATTGTCAGGGAGAACCAATGGACAGAGTTGTGCCTTGACTCCCACTTGCACCATGGTGCACACGCTCGTGTGCACACACTATATGCACAAAGACACACACACACACATGCATACATATGCAGTTTACGTGTACAACAATTATATATAAAAGCAAATAATGTACTATTTAATAAAATCCAATAATTCAACTCATTATTATTAGTAATGTATTACTATAAATGGCTGAAATACACACAGATAAGCCTTTCCTCCATGTCTCTTTCTTCATACATACGCTATCATTGTAAGGAATGTGCACAAACTTCTCTTTAAATTGTAAATTTATTGTATTTCTAATCATCATTTTTATTCTACTTCTCCTAGGGAATTTTGTCTTAAAATAATATATATTTTAATATTTTACATATTATTATAAATCACTGCAACACAAATGTCTAATTTTAACTATAAAAACCTATTGTGTTCACAAACACAAAATGTTAAGCCATTTTTCTGGACTGTGCTAGAATGTATGGTTGTTAACAAATACAGTTGATGAAACACCTATACTTATGACAAAATAAAATTCATCAGATAATCAGCTATTTTATAAATTTATCTCAACAAGAAGTATGGGGGGAATTAGAGGTGTGGCCCAGTTGTATACTACCAATTTTGTATGCATAAGCCTAGCATTATAAGAAGAGAAATACAAGGGAAAGGTATGGGGTAATGTATTTTTGTGATTAATACAATATCTCATAGCCGAATTAATATTCTCCCTATTAATAGTTGAATAGTTCTTACTGATAAGATAGAATAGTATTCAGTATAAATTCAATGGCAACTTATTGTTATTCTAAATATTAAGTATTGAAAATAATATTTTGAAATAATATTCAACATACAAATACAGATAATTCAAAATAAGTCTATTAAAGAGTTGTTTAAAAAACTGTGAAGGATTTGAGAAATGGCTCAGCAATTAGGAGCAGTTGCTGTTCTTGAAGAGGAACCAGGTTCAGTACCCAGAACCCACATGGCAGCCTCAACTGTCTGAATCTCCAGGCCCAAGAGATCCCTCTGCAGGAAACTCATGTCCACATACCCACACACAGACACATTGCATACATACAGCATATACATACACACATACATACATACATACATACATACACAAACATACACTTAAAAATAAGCATATAAAAATTGTTTATAAAAAATGTTTTCGTAGATAGACAAATAGGAATAAAACGAACAATGTTATTTAATTCAACAAGCCATTTCTAAGTTACAGCCTGTGGTGGTCATTCTTGGTTGTCGACTTGACTACAACTTGAATTAACTAAAATACCCAAATGGGGCGCACATGTGAGATTTTTTTGCTTAATTTAAAGTGGTAAGATCCAGTTTTAATCTGGACCACGTCTTCTTCTGGAATCTTCTATAAGACATGAAAGTATAAAGTCATTGCCCTTTGTCTGTTTGCTTTTATCTCACTAGCAAGTCCATTCCTTCATTAACATCA